GTATCATTATTATCATTATTATTATTATTATTGTTATTATTATTATTATTATTAATTCGAATGAACGATCGATGAAGAAAAAATTATATAAAAATAAATAATTATCATTATTATTAACGGAATGATAAAAAAAATATGTCAACGGTTTGAAAAATTGAAATTGAAATTCAAAAATTTTTAAATTAAGATTTACTTAAAACGTTATTATTATTATTATTATTATTATTATTATTATTATTATTATTAAACGTTATTAATCTATATTTTTATTTTAAATTGTATTATTATTATTATTATCACGGAATTAAAAGCGTTAAGAAAGAAAAGAAAAGAAAAGAAAATTTTATATTTAATTTTTTTGTTAAAATGAAATTTTCATTAATAATTTTTTTTTTTTTTTTAAATGTCTGATTAATTACTTAATTGAAATAATAAAATTCTTTTTTTTTTTTCAAATTCAATTTTTCTTTGCCCCGCCCCCTCTCTTTTCCTACTTCCCTTCCCTCATCTCCTCGCTCCGCCCTCTCCCACGCTCTTCCCCCCCGCAACTAAGGTGCCCGCACCATCTTTTTTTTTTTTTTTTCTCCAAGACTTTAAAATTCTGTTTTACTTTCATTTTCATTTGTTTAAATGATAAATGAAAAAAAAAAGAAAACCTGATGATTTATAGCTTTCCTTCTTTCTTTCTTTTTTTGTAATTTAAAAAAAAAAAAAAAAAAAATTAATAATATTAAATTTTTTTGAATAAAAGCAGACGATAAGTAATTTCTTAATGGTCTCGTTTTTATATTTAAATTATTAATTACGTTAAAAAAAAAACGCGATGTTAGAGGGTGAATTACATTTGCGCACTTTTTAAATTTTATCTTTCTCTCGAAATTGGGGTTTACATTTAAATAAATTATTATTATTATTATTATTTTATCAAACGTAAGATAAAATAAAAAATCAATATCGCGAAAGAAAAAAAAAACGAATTTCAGATCGATAATTTTAATAAATAATCAATAATATCGGAAAATTTTTTTTTTCTTCCACGTGACCTATTTATTTATTTATTTAAATATTAGTCATCGTATCGATCGATCTTTATAAAATTTAAATAAATAATTTTTTTTTCTAATAATAATAATAGTCTCGAATGAATTTTAATAATAAATTAATAAATTTTCATTTATTTATTTTTTAATTTTAATTAAAAATTAATAATAATAAATAAAAAATAAATAAATAAAACTTTTGGAAAATTTTTAACCGCAGAATAATATTTAAATTAAATTAAATTATTTATGGTTTTTATGGTTTTGATGCCACTTTTTTTTTTATTTTTCCCGGATAAAAATTATCGAAAGTATCGACTGATCGATCGATCGATCTATCGAATTTTATTTTCACGTTTTCGAAACAAAAAAAAAATAATAATAATAATTTCACCGCACCCCATTAAAAATCCAATCATCATTTTCGGTTTCGAATTGTTTTTTTTTTTTTTTAATTGATAACTTATCAACAAATGAAATTTTTTTTCTTTTTTACACCTATCGAATGATAATAATAATAATAAAGTCGAATATAATTAATAATAATAATAATAATAATAAAGTAATAAATCAATGATAAAACAGTTACCATCGTATGTCGCAGTCATAAAAAAAAAAATTCAGCAAATTTAAATTTAATAATAATTGAATGGGAAACTTTCTTTTTTTTATCAATAAAAATAAATAAGTAGATAAATAAATAAATAAATAGATAAATAAATTTTTAAATCACAAATAAAATAAATAAATAAATAAATTCACGAATTTGTTTTATTATAATTAT